TAACCAGGCCCGATGTTGCTTAAGTTCGGTGATTGTAGTGGAATCGGTCCTTTCGCGTGACCCGGACGTGAGTTTTTTTTATTTTTTCCTTTAACTTATTTTTACCCCGTTTTCTTCGTATTTTTCGTTTTTCTTTTTTGTCATTTCCATTTTTCATTTCGTTTTACTTTTTTCTTTTTTTTTTTTCATATACATTTTTTGTTTTTTTCATTTTCGTTTTTAGTTTTTCATTTCCATTTTTCTATTTTTTTTTTTTGCATTTTCATTTTCGTTTTTCTTTTTTCATTTCCATTTTTCATTTTTCTTTTTTTGCATTTTCATTTTCGTTTTTCTTTTTTCATTTCCATTTTTCATTTTTTTTTTTTTGCATTTTCATTTTCGTTTTTCTTTTTTCATTTCCATTTTTCATTTTTCTTTTTTGCATTTTCATTTTCGTTTTTCTTTTTTCATTTCCATTTTTCATTTTTCTTTTTTGCATTTTCATTTTCGTTTTTCTTTTTTCAATTCCATTTTTCGTTATTGTTTATTCTGTTTTTTTCTTGCTTTCCCTTCTTTATTTTCTTTTTTTCTCTTTCTTTCATTTTTTTTTTTTTCATTTTTACGCCAAAACAATGCAAGAAAGCCAGTACGACGCAGGAGGCTACTGAGTGTGAAAGAAAATAAGAAAAAGAAAAACATTTTTAAGGAACGAGAATAATAAAAGTCGAGGAATTAAGACAAAAGAAGATAACGATTGACACTGAATTTTATTTTTTGCAGATCAAAGTTGACTTGGAAGCAAGAAACCGGAAGATATTTCCACAGGTGAGAAGTGCCAGAAAAATTTTAATTTTCTTTTTATCTTTTTCCTTTTTCCTGTTATATTTTTCATTATTTTTTATTCTTGTTCGTTCATCTTTTTTCTTTTTCTTTCTTTTCTTATTCTTTTTCTTTATCATTTTCTTTTTTGTTTTTCTTTCGACATTTTTCTTATTCTTTATTCTTTCTTTCTCTTTGATCTTCCTATTTCCTTATTGTTTTCTTTTTTCCATTTTTTGTTTCACTTTTTTGATTTTTCTTTTTCTTATTTCTTATTTTCTTCCTTTCTCTGCAATTTCGGTATTTTTAAAAAAATCAATTCACCCCAAGGAAGGCGATAATGCCACAAAGAACCAATGGGGTCCTGAGAGTGAAAGAAAATGAAAAGACTTTAGAAGGAACCGCAAACCCAATCCTAATCAAGTGATATATATATATATATATATATATATATATATATATATATATATATATATATATATATATATATAATTAATTGATTTAAATATCATACACAGTTCTAACCATGTTTCAAAAATGGAAGCTAAAAGCTACGAATTTAATTAAATTCGTGGCTTTTAGCTTCCATTTTTGAAACATGGTTAGAACTGTGTAGCGAAAAAAACATATTTTAAATCAATTAATTTATAATATTAATGCTCTGTAAATTTTCATTGAGCACTATTTTGTAAAAATAAAAATATCTATAAGAACACCGGATTATATATCTTGCTGTTCTTTCTTTTTTTTATATACATACATATATATATATATATATATATATATATATATATATATATATATATATATATATATATAGTGGGGGAAACAAGTATTCGTACATATACAAATTTTGAATTTCCAACTAATGAATAAACATACTTTTCATATAATTAACTGTACACAGATGTATAATAACTAAATATGCATAGAAAACTGAAAAAAAATCTTGATTTATTAGAAATAAATCCTATTTATCCATTTTAGTTGGTGAAAAAAGTATTCGTATAATGAAATTTTCAGATTTTAAAACTTTTAAATTGCTTTAATACTCTAGAATATTCAAGTGGAATATTCTAGAATGTTATTTTTAGCTTAATAATACTGACAGAACATTCTGTAATTGATATTCGTGCAAGAAGTCTATCATCATAGTAAGAGCTAAAGAATTGACAAATTCGCAAAAAGAACTGATTGTTAAGCTTGAAGGTAAAAGTTACAGGAATGTCTCAGAAAATTAGTTAATTCATTGCAAAGTATAAAATACTCAAAACTGTTGAAAACCAAAGAACAGGTGCTCCACGGAAGATTTCTGCAAGATCTTCGAAGAAATTAATGCGTCAAATTAAACAAAATCCAATGGTTACTCATCAAGAGTTGCAGGATGATTTGCTTTCATCAGGAATTTGTCACTAAACGGACAATAAGCAACGAAATTCAGAGGAACAATCTAAAGTCACGCTTCCCTCGGAAAACTTCAATGCTATTGAAAAGACACAGATGCCAGGTTGAAATATGTTCGTGAACATAAGGATAAGAAAAAATCGTATTGGGAAAGAGGATTTTGAACATACAAAACCAAAATTGAGTTGTTTGGACGTAATTCTAGAAATCATGTATGGAGGAAAGATGGCGATGCCTTCAAACAAAAGAACACAGTTCAAACAGTGAAATTTGGTGGTGGCAGCACCATGGTTTGGGGATGTTTTTCTGCAAATGGTACTGGTAATTTATCAGTAATAGACGATAGAATAAATGCCGCAGCATATCAAAATATTTTGGAAGCAAATTTAATGATTTTGGTTGAAATTCTTCCTGATTGGATCTTCTTCCTGATTACATCTTCCAACAAAATAATGATCCTAAGTACACTGCAAAGTCTACAAAGAAAAGACTGGCTGAAAATAATGAAAAAATCCTCAAATGACCAAGTCAGTCCCCAGATTTAAACCCAATCGAGAATGTATGGCATTATTTGAAATTCAAATCCAATCGAGAGTTCCAACAAACATCCCAGATTCGAAAACCATATGCGAATAAGAATGGAACAAAATTCTAACCAAAATTTGCAAATGATTAATTGGGAACTACAATAAGAAGTTGGTTGCTGTAGAAGTGAATAATGGCTATTCTACAAACTATTAAATGAAAATTATGTATTCTTTTTTGTATTGTATGAATACTTTTTTCAAGCATTAAAGTGGATAAATGGGATTTATTTCCAATAAATCAATTTTTTCTGTTTTCTATGCATATTTAGTTTATGTATCTGTGTACAATTAATTATATGAAAAGAATTGTTTATTCATTACTTGGAAATACAATAAATTAAAAATTTGTATGTATACGAATATTTTTTTCCTCCACTATATATATATATATATATATATATATATATATATATGGTAATTTCTAAAGAAGTAATGGATTTTTGATTTATTAATAATTAATCCAGCAGATTTTATTAATCTTTATTTTTAGTGGATGCCCATATTTTGACGCCCCGTTTATTTATTAAACAGTATATTTATTTATTTTTGTCCACTAGCCTTATCGAGAAATCTTATAAAGTGTCTGTGATAAAAAGAGCACCATGATGCAATTCACTCCGCCAGAAATTTGGAAAAGGATTGCTGTACTGCTTGGCATTCGCGCCGGAAGATCCAATACAAAAATTTCAGTGTGTTTGGTGCCGATCTGAGGACAGTGCAGAAGAGAGAGTTGGATGAGTCTAATGGTGATTACGAATGTGTTTAGAATGATCACTAGTGATGGTGACGTTTCACCCCCGTTCATTTTCCCACAAAGCCTCAGACTCAACACAGAGGCCTACATCAAGTGCTTTTGAGGAGGCCCTGCTGCCCTGGATCAAGAGGGTGGCTGCTGAGATACCCTATGTCTGGCAACAGGACTCTGCATCATCCCATACAAGCAGGAGAACCCTGTCATGGCTTTCAGACAATTTCTGCAACCCCTTCACCCCTTACGCCTGACCACCTAACTCCCCAGACTGCAACCCCTTGATTATTGCAAAACTCCTTGATTATGGTAGCATACACCAACTTAAGCATGGATACCGTCTAGAAGAGTTTTAGAAGATTCTGAAGTTGTCTGGAGGCTGTGGTTGAAGCCAATGTCGATTTTCTTGAATAAATTTACCTTTTACTATTTCAATATATTTTTGTGTAATTTTGGTAAATATATCTGTTAAAATGAGATGTCTGTGTTGTTTTCATTTTTACATCATTTAGACAATAAATTCGCATTTTATTGTTTCTTCGACAGGCAAAAGGTGTTCACTTCTGGTTATAAAATATTTTGGCCTTGAAAAGTTGTAGCACATAACTTCTTACAATGTTACACGACTGAAATGAATAAGGAAGATTTACAGCCACTTTTGTCATTAAAAAATTTTTATTGTCATTATTCACGTGCGTTAAGCGTAAGGCAGACCCGTAAATGCTTATGTAGTTGAGTCCTGACCTACGTCAAAAAGCAGGTTATGTCGCGCCGTAGGAACGGATTGCCGACGTAAGTCGAGGACGTCCTGTACCTCAAGAAGAGTCAGTTGAAATCTCTGGGACACTTGATGAGGAAGGATGGCTCGTAAAATCTGAAACTCACGGGACAGATTGAGGGAAAGAGGGACAGAGAAAAGCTGCGCGTAATATGGACTTGAGCAAATGGATCGTAGAACAAGGTTTGGGAGAAATTACAAAAAGAGAAAATTTATTAAGAGCTACAAGAGGGGGAGGGCCATGATCGCCTACGTCCTGAACGGACGTGACACATAAAAGAAAAAAGAAACTAAAAATATTGAAAGGTACCTATCTTTGAGGCCATTAATGGTGTAAATAAAGAATTGAGGGTCCTGAGAATTTAAACATTGATATAGTTAAATTCTCAGGAGTTCTTCCCTGATTGGATTGGTGGGGGTACCATCGGTTGCTTGGGGTTGATGAAGTTCATGTAAAGAAATAAAACTTGGACTTTAGGTTATTTGCGTCGGTGAGACGAGATGAAATTTCGGTTGGGGTCGTTGCATTCAGTTACGCGCTAATATCCTTGCGGAAGACCTGAATTAACTTTTCTCCAGTTATGGGTTAAATAGTAGAAAAAATCATTGTATTTCTCAAACAAAATTCTTAATGAATATATTCATTCGCAAAAATTAATTATTCTTACAATCCAAAATATATGGCTTACGGCCATACCACATTGAAATACACGTTCCCTTGAAGTTAAGCAACGTCGAGCATGGTCAGTACCTAGATGGGTGACCGTTTGGGAATCCCAGTTTTTGTCAACTTGGATGTGCGGTTGGTACAGCTTACGGCCATATTACTTTGAAACAGCGAGAAGCGTGAACCCATCTCTTAATTGTTGTTGTTTCCAGGTACTCCCTGACCCGGGGTAGTAGCATCTGTTTGGGTCCCAGCTATGGGCAAATGCTGAACCCCAAACAGAAATCAACAGCACATGTAAAATGAGCAAGAATAGATTTTACGATCTAACAAATATATATTTTAAAAAACATACATTTACCCTGAAAGTATAAATTATGTACAAAATATTTGTAGTTGGAAGTATAAAATTACGTATTTAGATATCGGCATTAAATAACCCATAGAGGTTGATATGCTGCTAAGCAAAATCAACCAATCAAAAATCTATATTTATAGTAAAATTACCAACAATACATATTTAAAGCAAAATGATCAACAATATATTTTATCTGTAGTTGAAGGTATAGAATTACATTCAAAATATATTTAGTTGAAGCCATAGAATTATTTTCAAAATATTTCCATTTCGACACTAAATAACCCATAGAGGTGTTGATATGCCAATAAACATAATTAACCAAATCCAGTATTCACCGTCTTATAAGAAGAATAATATTATATAACAGTTCTTTAAGATTTTTAATTGTTTGATTTTGACATTCCCAATTTGTAGTTCGTATTTTGGTCTGTCCCTTTTGCTGACAACCATAAATTCTGTTTTCATATAATAGATGCTTAGTCCTTTCTTCTCGTTTTCCTGTATTATTTTTCTGTGTTTTGACCGCCAGTAAATGACGTCTGTCTCAGGATCGCATCACTATGAAGGTGAAATAAGTCTGGCGGAAAGACACATCCTTGACTTATGCCCCCCTTTCTATTTTTGTGTATTTACTGAATTCATTTTCTGTCCGTATGCAGTTTCCTCCCGGTATGAGTTTTGGATTATTCTAATATCTTTTTAAAATAAATCAAGCTTACCTCGTTGTTCAAACAGTTCTTTGTCCCATATTTTTTTTTACAGTAAGGTTCATCCTGTACAAGGCCCTGGGTCCACTCGAGGTAAAAGATTACGTTGTTATATGTATTTGTTGTTGATAGAGGACTTCTTTTCTCGTTTTTTTTTTTTACTGAAAATGAAGTGAATACAACGTACAACGAAGAGACTTTAAGACACGTGTTGACATTAATGACAACAATGTGTATTCTCTTTTCGTGAATGTTCTCTACAGCGTTAGTATTGTGTGCTAAAAATGTTCTTGGTGCTATTGTCTCTTTTGTTTGTTTAAAAGTTTGTGCTTACTTATTTTTATTTGTTCCGTGAATATTGTTGTTAAGAGTAGCCTTTGAGGCCGTCAACTATTGATTTTCATGGAGCGATGATGATAAGTCTGTGTTGTTCCTTTTACTGCTACTGCTTGTGGTGCGAAGTTCGTTTTTATAATGATGAAGTTTCAGATTTTAAACTGATGAAATATCATCCCCATCTGGTGGAAAGATTATCTTTTTTTTACCAGGATAATGAATTATCCTTATTTTCAATCATCGGTGTTGTTTTTAGAATTATGAAATTCTGGATCATAACATAATCTATAAAACATAGATGTATATATGTATACTGGTATAACAGGGACGGTACCCCTTGGTTCAGCGTTTTAGTGTGATAATTTCTAATGACGATTTCAAGCAGAAAGTAATTAAGATTAAACTGTGAGAATGTTGCAGTTTTTTGTGTATATGTATGTACTAGTGAGCTAGCCAAAATGAGCTGACTCATTTTATAGTCCACCAAGAGAAGGGTTAACCAATCAGAAAGTTCAAAATATTCAATGCGACGTGTATAAAGGCAGCCATTTTGTTTTTTTCTACCAAATTAGCCAACCGGATATCGAAGACTTAAAGAATTACTTAACAGACACTACTTTCTCTGAATCTTCACTGCCAAACTCTGATATCGAACACATTACGGACTTCACTGGATTCCATATTCAGAGACTACGGCAAACATGGTCAACAGAAAACACACACACACACACACACACACACTAAGTGCTGAGGAGAATAAGGGAAGAAAGACCAAATTACAAATATTAATTAAAAAGCGTTTGAAGAAAGCACTGGCAAGATTTGAACCTGAAATAAACCGAGCAGAAGTCATTAACATTTGCATATCTATAAGTCTACCATTCGTCCATGCTTAGGATGTTGCTGCTACATATGTTCTGGTGCCCTTGCTATCTACTGTGAGCTCTTTAATATAATCCAAAGAATAATCAGCAATATTATTGGTACTGATCTGGCGGCCAGGCTTCAATTACTTTCCCACCGATTTATGGTCTTCTAAAATTTCCGAAAGTCCAAAGAATTCTCACACTGCTTATTTAAAATACTATCAATCCAAAAACATTTATAGACTAACCAAGTTCAATGTTAGTATCTTTTGGGAACTAAACAATCCACAAGGCGCAACTGGTTTTCAAAGAAACGTCATGTTGAAAATCCATGCCAGAGGTTAGAAAATTTCTTATATAAACTAGCCAATATTCAAACAAGCCAGAGAGAGAGAGAGAGAGAGAGAGAGAGAGAGGGGGGTAGGTAACAAGATAGGCCGTCCGGTTTTAATCCTCCCCCCTCCTCCAGTTGAGTCCTCTGCATGAAGATAAACTACATCCGGCAGCAAGGCCTCTGATCGAGAGATTGGAGGTTTTGAGGAGCGTGGAGTCACCTCTTAATTACTGTTGTTCCCAGGTCCAACCTCACCCGGAGTGGTAGCACTGGTTAGGGTCCCAGCTATGAGCAAATAGTGAACCACCAAAAACAAAACACTACGAAAGTATAAAAATACATTTTTATATGAAAAAATACCAACAATATAATTATAAAGCAAAATGACAGACAATACATTTTATATGTAGTTAAAGCAATAAAATTGTTTTCAAAATATTTGAATTAAATTTCGGCATTAAATGACCCATAAGGCGTTGATATTCTGAAGTATCTCCATTTATTACGAATTACTGCTAGAATAATTTTCCTGTTGGAAGGCTACATAAAAAGATTCATAATTATTTATTCCATACATACTTTGAAATCCAATGTATTATCATTAAACCCATTGTTAGATATCAATAGATTTTGTTAGTTTATGCGCTGAAATTAGTTGACCACGACTGCAGAAATGACAACGACCAATGGGTGATATCCCCGTAGAATTTGCTTGCTGATGTTGACATGCCATGACCGTGATGATAAAAAAAGACACTGCCAAGAATATTACGTTTTTCGTAAAGATGGGACAGGAAACGACAAGTTGACGAAACGAACCAAAAACAAACAACAGAAACGGCGAATCCGACAGCGAGGTATTATTAAATTTACCGCATTTCAAGTGTATGAAATATTGTTTGTTGATTTGACGTATTGAGAGAATGAGTACTCCTGAGCGAAGGAGTACAGATATTAGATGGAAAAAAATCTGGTTAATCGAAAAAAGTTCTGTTTAAAAATATTAATTTGAACCTATAAAATACTTATGAGTAAGGTATCGGGAAGATTTGAACATAAAATAAACCAAGTAAGATTCATCTGTCTCCAAGGACTGAGGCATGGCACGTGGTATTAAAACAATCCATCCCTGTGATCTAAATAAAGGGTTTTGTTAGAAATTCCAATGTATATCACTTGAAGAAGGCCGGAGGGTACAACGGCCGAAAAGTCGTGAATATGGCAATAATGATGAGGACAAGTGTTCGAACGATGTATATATTTTGTGAAATATGATTGTATTTATTATAGGGATAGATAAATCCGGGCAATGCTGGGTACTTTTGCTAGTTTTCAATAGACGTTCTTGTAAATTTCATATAAATGGTGGAGTTAATGTGTGATTTTTTCCGGCCAAGACCAATTTGATTGTGTTCATGTATGAACCACCGATATTCATACGATATTAGACCAATTTTCAAAATCAACTTTGACATGCTATCAGTAGATCGTTGTTTTTAACCAGTAACCATTTTCGGCCTTTGAAAGTCTGTAGTGTTCTTGCTTCGTGGAGCCTAGGGCAATGAATTTTATTAAATCAAAACACGTTTTAGTTCTCTGCACGGAAACGGGACTCTCATCAACGCCATATGTTTGAGTTCAAGCGCGAAAATATGACTGAAGGCGAATTCTGTTTCCTACACACCGATGCACAGGCACACACATCCATTTATATGCATATATATATATATATATATATATATATATATATATATATATATATATATATATATATATTTTATTCAGAAGTAAACTGTTGGTCTATCGTTAATAATTTTCACTCAGGAATTCCTTCTTATTTTCATCAGATAAAGATACGAAAGCTCCTTTGACGAAATTCCGTTTTGTAAATGTAAAAAAACATGGCAACTGTAAATAAATGCTTCTTTTCATACAGTCTAAGTAATTACAGAATAGTTCATTATACAAATAAAAAGTTCATAGACAATTTTTTTTATCATTTCATCACAAGGAAGGTGATAAATCGGCTAAGACGCAAAGGGAGGTGACTGGAAGGGAAAGAGAATTTGACAAAAAATAAACAACTTTTTATGCTAATATCTTCGTGAATATGGGAGCCTAAATCGGGAATGGAAGAGTGTCGGACATTTATCACATGGTATAGCGGGTTATGGTCTTGGATATATATATATATATATATATATATATATATATATATATATATATATATATGTGTGTGTGTGTGTGTGCGCGTGTGTGTGCGCGCTATGATTTATATAAATGAATATGTCTGCAAAGACAATATTGATACAAAAAGGAAACTTATCTTATTACAACGCGTTTCGTTTGTTCAGGAACTTCATCAGGAAAAATATAGGGCTTTATTGAGAAACATGTATTTATAGACACAGAAAAAGCAACATTGAGCTAACCGCTCCAATTTCACATGTTTTTTAAGGGAAAGTGAATTAATTTTGCCGTTGTTATTTTTTCCTCTTATCATTCATTTCGTGAA